CCCGCCAGCAGCCCCGATGCCTCCCTCCCCGAGACGCGGTCTGCACGCCCCGCTCCACGCGCAGCCGGACGGAACAGCTCCGGGATGCTGGAAGCTCCGTGGGATTGCTCCAAAACTCTGTTCAAACGCAAACCTGTGCCACGTCTGGGCTCACCAGGTTAAACGCACGCTGCAGTACTGGCGTTACGGATACAAACATTTTACACAAATTATTTAACGTCAGCCTGAGCTAAGCCCAGTATTTTCCCACACTTTTTGCATTTGACAGCTATCACCTTTTCACCCCTCCCCTGCAGAACTACAGAGCAGCGAGAAGACGCTGGATACTTCAGCGGGGCGTACACCAACACGCACCACCTGCAACTCCTGACCTGTCCCGGAGATGCAGCTATTTTTGTAGCTTGATCCCATATTGGAAACAAGCTACTGGCGAGTGAAACTTTGAATCCTGGCGGCTTTTCAGACCATCTCTAGGATGGAAGGCACAATATAGTCTTTGCTACGTGTGTGTTAATGTAAAACCAAACCAAAAAGTGATTTCAGGTTGTTTTTATATGGTGAGATGGGATCCATCCCGTGTTTTCAAAGTGAACCAATAGCTGATCTGAAAGTGAAATACCTAAAACTTGCCAAAATGCATATAAACACCTTGTTTTCTCAAAATCCAGATGTCCTTCGGGCTGAAACGCTAAGCCTCAGCTTTGCACGACTCTTCAGGCGGTGCCTGCCGTAGGTGATTAGTAACTGCCAGGATGAGCAATCACAGCACCCAGCTTCTTCGAGTAAACGCTCTGCCTTCCAATAAACTGAAATTGCCCAGTGGCTGCGTAAACATCCTTCAGAGAGCTCGCCTTCTGACGGCAAAACTGTACCCAAAATACTTGAGTCGACCGACAAAAATAGTCTCTCTTCAAATAAATTTAATTGGTGGTTTGCTTAGGTAAGTGCTAGACTGTTTGTGCGGCACCGTCTGAGTGCGGCAGAGCACACGAACTGTGCTCAGAGTAAATTATGAGAAAAGAGAAATCAGCTTCACCTTAGAGCAAAGGTATGTGGGGAAAAAAAGAAAAATTAAAAAGAAAAAAGCCTGCAGACTCCACATCAGCGAGGGACGATGGTATCGCTGCGCGCAGGCTACAGAAAACACGGAGGGCACCGTCCCGGGGAGCGCCAGGCGGAGGAAGCACCCGCGGCGCTGGCAGAGCACGCGGCCACGCGTGTTGGTGCGTCCTTATCTTGGCGAAATCTCCGCTGGACACTCGAGCAGACCGTGCGGGTTTGCTTACCTCTGGGCTCACTGTTGTTACGCCGGCTCCCGTTCTTAAATTAAATCGCTTGTAAAGGACAAAAACTCCGTAATTCGCTTTTAACCAACTTTTTACGCCCTGGCCCCCACTTCTCCCTAAAAAACCTCGACGCAGAGCGAGCGCCTGACCTAAGGGTCTTCCACCGAACCCGACCAGCGCCGGCGGGAGGAGGAACAGTTCTCACCATTCCATTTCCCCTAGAAAAACCCGCTCTTTGCGCCCAAGCTGCGCGGTGGCTTACGCATCGCTAAGAGCTCCAGCTCCATTTTAAGGGAAACTTCCCACCGCCGGCTCCGGCTGCCCCAGGCCCAGCGAGCTCCGGCACTGGGAGCTGGGTGACCACAGCCCCCCGTGCCCCCCGGCCCGAGTTCTGCAGCCCCCACCAGCGCTGCCGAGCCCCGGTTATTTGGGTAGA